AATGCATTAATGATTTAGGGCTTCATCTGGACTCTGAACATCCCACGGCACTGGACTGGAGAATGCTTCTTGCTTATCTAGGATTTGACAATTCTAGTTTAATTCAGGTGTTGAAAAGTAAGAAGGGAAGTCATACCCAATATGTGATTAAAATGTATTATACAATGGATGAGCACCCCACCTGGTGTGGAATACATAAAGCACTGAAAGCTATGGAGAGAGCGGATGCTGAAGCTGTATTAGTGAAACATGCTGAGAAGTTAGGCTTACCTTCAGATACTGCTTCAACCAGTCTACCAGCAGGATGGGGAGAGTTTAGTAACATGTCTCAGAGATTAGGAGAACAAAACTTATCATTTCCATGCATGAGAGAAATCACTGAGCTGTTAAATCCAGAACACCCAGTTGGGTTAGACTGGAAGATACTTGCAAGTAAACTTGGCTGTAAAACAACTGACATGGATGCATTTGCTCGTACACCCAACCCAGCCATGGCCTTTTTGCAGGATTATCAAATAAAAGAAGGATCAACACTTGGTAATTTATTTTACGCTCTTAAACTGATGCCACGGTATGATGTCATTTACTGCTTATGGAAACAAGGGGCATTTACTGCTGGGGAGACTGTGCCTCAATCTGGAAAGATCTATTCCCAGAGCTTATCATACGATGGAAGTAGAGATACAGCAAGGAGAGCTAAGATGAGTGAACAGCCAAAGAGACAGATATCACAACAAGATTCAGCTTCATTTAGGTATGTACAATTAACTTCTATTTGATACTGCATCTTGATACAAAAAATAAGTATAATTTATCATCTAATAAAACATTGTTTAGAGAGCGAAAAATTCATTCAAATATGTGATTGAGATTACATGTACATTGCAGAGTAACATGCGCTCTAGATTGATGTCCTTATACTCTTGTAACTCTTTCACAGAAGGGAGACGGAGAACCTATGTCGTATGTTTCATGATTTAGGAATTGATGAAAAGAAGGCTAACAGAGCTATACATAAAGCTTATCAACAAAATATATACGGTATGCAGATTATTAGAAAACCATTTCTCTTCAAAACCTATTACTAGTAGCAATTTGTTGGTTTGGTCTAAAATTAAAAAAAATTAAATAAAAAAATTTATGGTTTGCTTTAAAATCTTATGTTTAGTGTATCAGAATTGGTTTATTTATTGTTGACTCTTAAATGAGTTGTGTTTTATAAGGTTTATGTTTAAACCAAATACACATAGAATAATTGTAATGCTTTATTTGTGTTAGATCCAGATGTGATATACAGTACATATCTCTTAGAGGATGATGACACAGATACAGAATCAACAGAATCAGGTAATATGAGGCAGTACATGTTTGGTTATAGCAAACACTTCTGACAGTTATATTACTACTGGGATAGTTTCTTATTTTGTTTTTTTGGGATATGGGAGTTATTTTTAGGATGCATATATGTATTTACTGCTGCAATATTACTCCACATCAAGTCAAAATTAGTGATGTTGGAATCCTAGCATTCAAGTGAAGTCATGCATTTGAGTTAACTCCAAACATTGAACATATGTACTTGTAGGTTTGTTGTCTTGTCTAGCAAAATTTTAAACAACATTGCATGACAGGATTTATTGTAGTGAATAATAACTTAACATGACAAGTTTTGATCATTATAAATTATAAATTTCATTACTGTGAGATTTGTCTTTTGACCAAAGTTAAATGGAAATCAACTGAATTGTGGATTACAATACATCTTTAAGGATGTGACTGGTTAGATTTCAATGAAACCTAGGTGCTCGGGAACAATGTGTATATAATCTGTATGTACATGTATTATTTACCTAATTTGCATAATAATTAGTAAATTTTCAGCTTTTCTATTGATATCTTACATACTAATCATCACATTTCAATGAAACTTGGTACATAGATGTCAATGCAAAGACCTGGCTAAAATATGTGCATATTATAATTACCCAATTTATATAATAAAATATAATAATTTTTTTTACTTTTCTACCGATTTCTCAAAAAGTAATCATTCCAGTTCAATGAAACTTGGTACATAGATGCACAGACTTGATCAGTTTTGGGTTAATGCTTCAATAAATGACACAAGACACAAGGTTTTGGCAAAAGTGGAAGGGGGAGCGAATTGCAGACGCAGGCGTCGCAGCGAACAGCTCCATGATGCGACTCGCCTGCAGATAGACTCACAACCCCAGGGGGATGGACAGCGTGGGTACCCGTGTAAAGTCTGCTTGGTCTGTGGTGGAAACCCCCTTACCTGTTTATTGCTAAGGTTGTTCATGAGCAGATAAACATGAGTTACACTTGAGTGAGATCGGTAATGGTATAGAAATTGGTTATATAGAGACCTTTGCATGAATGGGTGGGTGGGAGGTCTGCTGAGACGATGTG